ACCACAGAAGTTGTGTGATTTATTTCATTTTGTGCAATCTTTCTCAATTAATTGGTTCAAATTATTGAATTTGGGGTGGAAATCTTTTCAATTTAAATGTCTTTGAAGTGTTTCTTAACGTTCTAATAAAACTGTTATGATTCCACCTTAAAAATAGATGTGAACGAATTGAAACCTCGGAAATTGGTAGTGTAATTTTTAGAACCTCAACGGTTTTTATGAAAAACACGACCAAGTGCTGATGAATTAAAATGCCTAGAAAGGCCTTCAAGCATAATTTTCCTCTTCTTTTCTAGTTTCTTTAACTATTATTCCTCTATAACAATTTGAGGAGTGCCAGCAACTTTTGCACTAACATTTGCATTTGCACATTTTCACTTCTTCACATGACACGTGTTAGTTTTTTACCCAAAAAACAAGACCGTTAGTTTTTTACCCGTCAAATGCAAATGTTGCTAGCATTTCTCTAGCAATTTTTCACATGCTTTCCATGTTTCCTGGGATGTAGAAAAGAAAATAAATCTTTAATCTTTAGGACAGACGAAAGTTACAAAAATCTTCAGCTTCTCTTTCCAAATCGTGTAAAACATTGTACTAAAAGATGATCATGTACGAATGAGCTATTTGGATGCAAGAAAAGAATTATATTTTGTTCTCAAATTCCAATATGATCTACATAATATGTGCTTCCTCAAAGCATAAACACTACCTTAATGAAGCTTACGATGCCATTTGCTTCGTTCAAATCGGATCCAAGGGAATTTAGGGGATAATCAAGATATTAATCCTAGACAAGCAAGGGAATGAAAAGAGCTTACCCAAACCGCGTTCCTTCTCTTCCAAGGATTACAGGTTTCCTGTGACCTACAAATGTAGCAGACTTTATCCTCCAATGTCAAGAAGAAAAGAACATATGCTCTTTAACTTAGATTACAAGCACCCTCCTTTGATATTCCTTCTTTTCCCCTTTATTCTCCTCCTCATATAAACAACTAGTGCAACCCAATTCATTTAAAAATCTGAAGTCCATCTAATCATCAGACGAAGAAATGTGCGAAACAAAGAATTTCTACTGCTGGGCTCTGCAATTTCTAGCTCTCCTGGGACTCCTAGCCCTCTGTCTATGGCTGGCCTTACGTCCGAAGGACCCTCAGTATACCATTGTTGATATCAACATCCCAAAATCCGATTTAGAGGACGGCGCATACAATGGTTCTATCTTATATGCCCTTCAAATTGAAAATCCTAACAAAGACTCTAGTATTTTCTATGATGAAACAGTTTTAACGTTCTTGTATGGGTCGGATAGTGTTGGGGAGAAACACATACCAGCTTTTCATCAAGGAAGAGGTAAAACCCGTCAAGTGATTGACTATGTAGATGTCAACCCACGAGTTTGGAAAACTATTCGCAATTCCCTATTGCATGCAACTGCAGAATTGAAGGTGGCTTTGCTTTCTCGGGTTCGGTATAAAACATGGGGTGTGAAGAGTAAGCATCATGGGCTAGACTTGCAAGGTAAATTATCAATTGGTTCAGATGGTAAGATTTCTGGTAAGAAGAAAAAAATTAAGCTAAGCCATTCTTCCAAGAAATGGAGAAGGAGCAATAGCCGACGATTACTAGATTAGATGTTTTCTTGTAAACTTACAATATGGCTTACCTTACTTACACATTGTTGCTTATAATGTACTCAGAATTGTTCCAATTGTTATTCTAGTAGATCACGCAATTCAACAATTTCTCAATTTGATAATAAAAGAGTATATTTGAGAATAAGTTCTTGATTTGTGCCTAATATTAATATAAACCAAGAGCCTAGAGAGCTGGCGTGAATCAAACCAAAATTCCCTCCAAAATTTGAGTGCCAGATAAGAGTGCACCTGATTTTCCTTTCTAACGACTCTCAGTGTCAGGCTCCGATCCTGACATACGTCTAGGATCGACACGTGACGTCACCAAATACCCCTATATCTAACATATCCCGCCTCCGGGATATGTACCAAGCACAACTCAAGCCTCGAATTACGTAGCGATTATTCGTACTTTTATGGATGCATCTAACCTCCTTATTAGAATGCTTACGTACCCTCAAAATGGATCAAGTCATTCGTAGTTCATCATACACTACACTCGAACACTCATTTCATAATTCACTTAATTTTTAACATGCTACCTCCATCCACAACATGTAACATATCAAATAATCAACGAAGCACAATATTATTCTCAAGCCACATTGATCAACTAAAATAATCATAGTAATAACAATCATATCCAACGTCATTCCACAATCCCGTCAATTAATTAACTCATGACTCAAGGATGCCAGATTTTGACTTTTAACTTAGTCAATCAATGATATAACATACCATTTCACGAATTTATGTAAAGAGCTCTAAATAATTCCCTTTTTGAATTTTGAGTAATAACATGGTATATAAATTCACAAGGTCTATTGTGGGTAATTCCCATTCACTTGAATATAGGGTTTTAGACTAACCTTATGGAAATGAGCAAGAGCAAGGATTTCAGACCACTCAACGAAATCCAATAACATCGGGTTCCAGACCACTCAATGGGACCAGAATATTAAGCGGTTTCTCGTAATTTACCCAGACATGTTATACGTATAATCAATGCCTACATCATTGAGATGGTACACTGGCAAATCAGATACTCGGATAAGCTGCGAAGCTCAGGTGAGTGACAATAATACAAGTTTGTGATATTCAATAAAAACATATCATCGATCACAATTTATAAACATCAAGTATAGAATCATGCTTTATGAAATCATAATCAAGTCGCTGAAAACTCCGAATGAGTCACCCAGACATCTAATGGCTTTTCTAGTTTAAACCATCAGATTATCAGAAACCATCATTCATATGTACATTAAAAACTAGAGCTAGATGGATGCAGTTCGCCCAAAGCCTACATAAGTAACCAAACAGGAAATAGCCCCCCAAACCGGATTAACCAAGCAGAGCCACTCCTGAGAAAGTACCCAAGTAGGCAGTGACCCCCCAACGTGGATTAACCAAGCAGAGTCACTTCTACCGCTGTTAGAAAGTGATCACTTAATGCGGATGAACCAAGCATGATCACTTAATGCGGATGAACCAAGCATGATCACTTTTAAGCATATATGGCCATAAGGATCGCCCAACACAGATTAACCAAGCGCGATCTATATATAGTATGATTCCCCAATGCGGATTAACCAAGCAGGACCACTAGTGACCCCTCAACGCAGATTAACCAAGCAGGGTCACACCTACAAAACTGTTAGGCAGTGATCACCCAACACGGATTAACCAAGCAGGACTATCCATGTACCATTGCAACATGGTGAAGACTCGGTGTCACCTAACCAAGTGACATTAGGGTAACGGTCCCCTACTAGCCCTCAATTTAACAAGCATTTCAATATGCACTTCAAATCACTTTTTTCACAAATATTTCCAATCCATGAATCAAATCAGATTTGATAAAAATAGATCGATGGCCAATTATAAAAATCACATTTTAATAGAAACACACATTTATGAAACCATGTCATATCCATAAAGGATGCTAATATAAGAAAACAGGTTAATAACTATATCACATTTATTAAAGTCACTCAACGAGACAAGTCCGCAAAGCCTCACTAAGTCTTTTGTAATACTAATTTTAGTAATTCAGATGGTTTTAGATATGTTGACCAAAAGTCAACTCTCAGTTAACGGTGGGGTCCACATCCTAGCAATTTAATCTAGAAGATCTGCACATCAGATTTCAGATCTAAAACTTCCTTAGGTCCATATTATGCTCATAGAACAACATACTAAAATCTCATCGCGATTTGACGGTCGAATCTCCTCCAATTACTAGAATTAGGTAGTGGTCAACAATTTATTTTACAAACTTAGAAATCCAATTCGAGAAGATCCGTAAGTCGGATCCCCAATCCGTAAGTTTCTATGGTCCTCAAATATTACGTATTATAACGTATTAAAGTTTGGTGACGATCCAACGGTTGGATCGTTGATTCATATTTTTATTAAGTAATGTCTCATAGTGAAATTAGGTTTAAATGATCAAACCACGTCATACAAATATTAAATACAAAATCAGGACATCTAATTGAACTTAGAAAGGCATCGTCGGCCCGCTGGCCACGCGCTGTCGTAAGTGGCGGTTTCCGGCGAACGAAAACCCAAGTTTCCGACTACCTTAAAAAATTACCAAATTTCACAAAAATGTAGATCTCAATGAATAGAGCAAGTTTCATACCTATGACTAAGGCCATTTTTTCCGGGAAACACCTCAAATTGTCCACACTGAAACCCTAGAATTGGGTGTTCTTGATTTGATGCCAAAACGAACTCCGACACCCCAACCAATGCATGGGTTTTGTTCCTGAGGTTGAGGTAAGTATTTTGGTGTTGGTGGTCGACGGTAATCATTGTCGGATTCACCGGAAAAATGAGAAAACCGCCGGAAAACCACGAACTTTGTGGCTTCGGTTTGTAAAATTAGGTTAGAAATTGAGAAATATGATACCACAAAGATGTTGGGTTCACCAAGAGCCTTCCATAGACACCACCTCAATCGGATGTTGGACGGAAGAGATATAACCGGGTCCAGGAACCGGGTTGGGGTTTGAAATCAGGTCAAGGTTGGTTAGGTGTTTCCTCAACTCTCTCCTTTCCCTCCTTGTTCCCCTTGCTGATTGATTCGCTCCCCCTTTTAGCTGATTGGTCCCTTAACTAACATAAATCTAATTGGCCTTTTTCAGTTTTTCCCACAAGATGGGAGTTTAAAATAAATTTAAAATCTATATTTTGGTAACACAACTTCAAATGTTCGTATCTATACCGTATAATCCGGACTCGCAAACAGTTTTTGCCGATGTGCTCACAGTTTCAAGATCTATTTGAAAACATGACTTGTGACCTTGAAAGGTCAACGAATTTTAGATAATTAATTTTCAAACTTCGTAACTAGTTTAATTAAAATCTAAATTCAACTAAATTAATATAATTTCTCGAAAAATAATATAAAATCTCAATAATACAAATACGTAGATTATAACAGTGAAATCCAGTAACTCAGGTTCCACTTTTTGTATGTCCGACAGTAATTTGCAACTTGTCTAGTTGTCTTCGCCACTCATGGAGATGAACCTAAAACACAACCAAATTACGTCATTTATATATCCCAAACATCCAATCCAACCATCACCCGGTTCCGGCACAATTTATGAAAACAAATTTCTTTTTATTCTCATTTTTCAGAAGAAATGTACAAGATGATACTTACAGCTGGGAAGCCACCATTATCTCCAGGTCCTGTGATATCCTTCATTACATAGCTAGTAGCAGCAAGCCGTAGCCGCGAAGTCCATGTAAAAAAATATTCAGCAATATTCGTAATCAATGAAAACATGTGAGAACACGAAAAAAATAGAAAAGCAGTAGAAAAATTAAAAAAATTACATTGTTACGAACTGCTACCATAGTTACATAGTCTCCTATCCTGTATGAGAATAAAAACAGGACAGCCATCAAATTTGGCAGATCTTCTGAATCATCGACCAAGTCGTTGAAGTGAAAGTGGATCATATCTTATGGCGGGCTTTCTAAATCAGAAAAATACAGTAGGGACAGAGAAAGAACATGCGTCACTGAGCCTGCAATCCCAACTTGTCCACAAAGTATGCAATTCTTCGCAACAACTACATTATGACCAATCTACAGGAAACGAGCAAAAGGACAATTGTATACTATATTCCAGGAAAATTATGCAAGAACTTAGAAGGCAAAAGTTAACCTGAACTAAGTTGTCTATCGTTGCATGATCTCGTAACTGTATCTCTCCAACTTCATAAACCAAAGAATGCTACAAACTATTGCTCTAACTTCAATAGAATCTGAGTAAAACTTACTCAGAAAATATAGTAATGCATCTAAAATCAGTTTAAAAGATATCAAAGGCTCTATGTCTAACCTGCCCCTGTGAACGAACTTGGTTACTCTATCAAAATCAAATAAGTGAAAACATTAACAAGGCAATGTCGAGTTAAAAATTAGATCGTCACCCAATTTTGGTTGATTGCCCAATAGTGAGGTCCAATGACAGCTCTCGCCAACAACGGATTTTGAATGAACAACAGCACCAAACTCTATGAAAACTGTTGGGTCGATGCAGGCAAACGTGTGGAAAGACCCACCTCCGTTATGCCATTGTTGGAATTCTGGATGAACGGTCGGAGCATCGCCCTCTGATCTTGAAATACAGAGCAGGTGCAGAAATGGTTGGTGACAAAACAGGTGTTGTCTCAGAGACATTTTCACAAGCACGTTCAGGGCATACCAGACGAAACAGACGACGCAGAGGATCTCTAACTATTTCCAAAGCGCAACGGAAACAAGCTTTGAACGCATTGAGGATGTGGCGAGTAGCCGAAAGTTGCTGCAAGTCTTCTCAGAGCGACTGCCATTGACTGAGGACCTGAGGTCCGAGGAGCGACTCGGCGAGGAGGGAAAGCCCGTTTGTATTTGAACCTGCGTATCCAGTATCCACAGTGTTCGACCGGAAGGGCTTTTGTAATGGAGGGCATCTTCGTCTCCTAAATTTACGTTGGGCCAACATACATAGGTGTTGGGCTTTGGGCTTGAAAGTCCAAACCAATAGATTATTGAGAACAAGTGCAAGTTGGATTGGAAATTTCGATTTTGATCAGTTCTGACCAAATTGGTGATGAAAACTTTCAATTTTGGTGCACCCGAATGGAATTTGACATTCAAAATTCTGAAATAATATGGATCGTAATTGGGATGTACATCTAAAATTTTTAATAATCTCAATAGATTTTATACGAACGTATTAAAGTTTCAACTTGTGAATCTCAATATACTTTAATATGGATTGTAACTGGGATGACCAAATTGAAACGTAAGTTACCAACTTTTCTGAATTTTTTATTGTTTGTTTTTTTTAATTTTTTACGACAAAATTGAATGAAAATGAAACTCATAATTTCAATTAGATTTTTTTTTTTGAAAATCAGGCATGCATACATGGAGAGTAGGCTAGGTAATGAAGTTTAATTCTTGTTGTGTGACCTATCGGACATGCTAATCTCGCATGTATATATATAAATAAATAAAATGAAAACTAATGAAAATGACTTGAAAACTTTGAGTTTTAATGATAAGGACAAAATAAAGGGTAAAGTGAATAGTACCAGGTTTGACTTTTTGGTGTAAAAATGTGATTTTTTGTTAAAATGAACAGTACCGTGAACTTTTCGTTAAAACTTCCATAAATAAACCACAGAAAACACGTGTGACTATTATATTATTTGATGGTTTGTGGAAGTCTCTATTGTCTATTAGTTTTGAGTTATATCTTTCAACTTGTGGCGTGGCATTGACTGAATTAGGGGCAAAACCATGACCAACTGTGAACAATTTCCAGGAAAATACAGCCAGTCGAAGGCTTTGTTTTCTTAGATTTTTTATTGATTTGATTTTAACTAATTTAATTAAGCAAGTCTTCCAAGAAACTACCTATCAATTCACAAAAATTCAATGGTACTCGTCCTCCGAGATTTTTAACCATATTTCGAGCAGGAAGGAGAACACTTAAGAGCTATATATAAAAGTTTCCCTAATCTTTTTCTATGATTAGAGATCAAAACATGGCTAATTTCCCTAGTGTTCCGAAAACAATCTCTCTTTTTTCGCTTTGTTTTCTTATCACCCTCCTTTTTGATCTTGCTTATGCTGATCCTGATCCTCCATACAAGTTGTGCTCAGATGTTCGCGGTTATGTCGAAAATAGTACGTTTCAGAAAAACCTCCATAGCCTGCTAAATTCATTGCCTTCAAATGCTTCTGTTTCCAAGCTGTACAATACCTCCGCTGGAAATGAACCAGATAGAGTTTATGGCCTTTATATGTGCCTCAATTATGTTACGAATGAGATATGTCACAACTGCATCAACACCGCGCATTTAGACATTGTTAGGATTTGTCCCAGCTCAACAGAATCAGTTGTGTGGGAGGAAACGTGCCAACTGCGCTACTCCGATGTGAAGTTCTATGGTGAATTGAATGTGGCAGACAACATTGTGTCCACTAACAAGAAAAACGTTTCAGACCCAAAAAAGTTCGAGAATACTGTGAAGGAGAAGCTGAGGGAGCTTGCGAAGCAAGCGGCATATGATGCTTCAGCGAAAATGTATGCTACTGGAGATGTACCATTTGAAGATAAAGTGATATATGCTCTTGTGCAGTGCACTAGAGACTTATCTGGAGATGACTGTGGCAAATGCCTTCAGCAAGCCATAGAAGACGTTTTGAGAAAGTATTATTTCTCCATTGGTGCACGGCTTATGAGCCGGAGTTGCTATCTGAGGTACGAGTTGTATGGCTTCTATAAAGGTGCAACTGAAGCTTCTATTTCCAGCTCTCCAAATAACAACAAAGGGGACGGTGAGTACTTTTAAGGTGTATGTCTATTTTGACGCTACAATGTTAAAAATTAACTGCAAATGCATAGTTGTTTCCAATGAAGGTAGAGGATGGCGGTGGCGGATCACGATCCTTACGGTTGTGTCAGCATGTCTAGCCATACTACTTTTGGGTTCCTGTGTCCATCTTGCAGTAAGAAAAAGAAACAAAAAGGGTAATAATAATGCATTTGGAAATGCTTTAAAGCTGATCATCACTCTAATATATTTTCTGAAAGCAGCTTTTCTTTCGATCTGTTCAGGGAGTAGTGAGATTTTAAGACAACATGTATTGTTCCCGGACCGAAGTTTTCAAGGCAGAAACCAGAAAGTTGAGGAGTACCCCTATATCAGTTTGGCATCTATACATGCAGCTACGGATAAATTTTCTGATTCAAATAAGCTCGGAGAAGGTGGTTTTGGGCCTGTTTACAAGGTATAAAGTAAAAGCAAATTGTTTCTTGAGCAAACTATGGACAAAAAGTTCACATATGCGAAGATTAAATCGATATTTGTATTACTATCTTCCACTTGGTTGGTATTTTCTGTGGTTTGATTTAAAATCTGGTTTTTCGCAGGGTGTACTGAGTGACGGTAAAGAAGTGGCGATCAAGAGGCTTTCAAGCTGTTCTGAGCAAGGCTCAGAGGAATTCACAAATGAAGTTCGGCTGCTAATGAAACTTCAACATAAAAATCTTGTTCGGCTTTTGGGTTTTTGTGTTGAGGGAAAGGAAAAACTGCTTGTCTATGAATACCTGCCAAACAGCAGCCTAGATGTCTTCCTCTTTGGTATGTTTTCTCTTGATCCTCTCAAAAATCTGTATGTGGGATTTAACTTCAACTGTTTTATACTATTGCTAAGATTTTCTTGTCAGAAATATTATAGTCTGTAAATTCTCCTCCAATGATGCTTAGATTCAGAGAAACGAGCGCAGCTTGATTGGAGCAGACGTGTAAACATTATAAGTGGAATTGCAAGGGGAATTCTTTATTTACACGAGGAGTCTCGACTTCAAATCATCCATAGAGACCTGAAAGCTAGCAATGTTTTATTAGACGATGATATGAACCCTAAGATCTCCGATTTTGGCATGGCAAGGATCTTTGCAGGAAGTGAAGGCCAAGCAAATACGACTACAATAGTTGGGACATAGTAAGTGCTTCATTTCTAAATTTTCTTCCCACTAGGAAACTTATGGTACTCAACATTTTGTTCTGGATTTTTGTATTGGAATAGCGGATACATGGCTCCAGAATATGCAATGGAGGGAGTATATTCTGTCAAGTCTGACGTTTATGGTTTCGGAGTACTATTGCTTGAGATCATAACTGGGAGAAGGAACGCCGGCTTTCATCAAATAAAACGTGTTCCTAGCCTTGTAACATATGTAAGTTACTTCATGCACTTCTCTCAGAGCAAGACTCTTTGCAATTAAACAGCAGCTTAATGCTTATCCAATTGACTACGATGCAGGCATGGAAATTATGGCATGACGGAAAAGGGTTGGAGCTACTCGACCCACTACTACTCGATTCATGTGATCCAGATGAGTTTCTAAGATATCTCCATATCGGATTGTTGTGTGTCCAGGAAGATGCGTATGACAGGCCAACCATGTCTTCTGCTGTTGTAATGTTGAAAAGTGAAACTGTAACTCTTAGCCAACCCGAGAAACCTGCTTTCACGACGGGAATATTCACTGACCATTATATCGAGACAGCTGCTGGTGGTAGCTCTATTAATGGTCTAACAGTTTCTATCGTCGTGCCACGATAACACCATAAGATTCATGAATCTGCACAGAGTTGAAGCTTTCCTGTGGTAACTTTGTCATGAAATTCTTCACTTGTTGTCTATACCACAAAGTTTTGCTTAGTTCTGTTGTGTGAATATTAGTTACTGGCAGTTTAGCTGATACAAATTGCTAATAACAACTGGTTTATTCCTTTCTAATGAGAACTAAAAAGATGACACCAAGCCAATAAAGCTTTTTGCTTTGCAAGGGTCAGAAGAGGAAAATTTAGTGTACGCAACATTATCCTTACTTTACTAATAGACGTCACGACTCGAACCTATAACATTTCAGTAACAAAACCCGAACCAACCTGGAAATGGCACTTATAGCTTGTTTACTAATTTGTAATAATTATTATGATGGAGGCCACTAGCGGCAAATTAAGGCTAGATTTATCATAACTTGACACTAAAGTATAAAACTATGATAATGCTCATTGATTTGAATTCAGTTAAGATGGCTGTAATTATATTCAGGTTCAAAAGTAGTCAACATAATATAAAAAATTAGTAATTAATTAACGACTAAAACTAGGGGATGCTTAATCTAGGAAAGGGATCATTTCTCTTAATACACGTTGAAATTTGATCAAACGACTACAAATAGAGATCTACTTTAAAAGTTATAATAACTTCAACTGTTGAATCAAATTTTAACAACACAAATTTCTTGATTTAATGAATTAGGAGGAAAGGATCCTGATTATATCCTATCTTCCTGTATCACTCATCACGTCTATATCCTCACCTCCAATTTTTGTTGCCAAATTATGCATATATTAAAATCCAGTTTTCTGATACTGTTTATTACGAGTGAAAGGACGAAAATACCCTTGATTTCTTCTTTGCTCTGCGCACTGTTCCACTTTTCTACAGTGGAAAGTCGGCTATGCCCTCCCCAGCCGCGCGTCTTTCATCCTTTGTTTCTCTGCTTTGACCGCATCTTTTTTGCTTTTACCCTTCCTCTTCGTTTTTCACCTTCATTAGTCTGCGGTTTTCTCCCTCTTCGTCAGCCCGTCTTTTGCCCTCAAATCCTTTCTTTTTCTTTCGCATTTAGTTTCCAGTCTCCCCCGGTATTGAATCCTTTGTTATTCGGCGTTTTGTTCTCATCTTGCGATCGTCGGGGCAAGAACTTTAAGGTTAGTTTGTTCTCAATGTTTTATCCTCATTTTGCTATCTCTAGGCCGATAAATTTAAGGTCTTTGTTTTTGTTTTTGCTGCGGATCTGCAGGTTGGGACAAATTTTTTGTGAAATTGGTGACTAATCGCATGCTGCCTCTTCAGATTATTGACAAAGAAATTATATTGAACTTGGGTAAGTTTTAAAACAACTACGCGTAATTTTCGATTCTCAGTTTGTATTTGTTTGAAAGAAACCCTGAAAATTGGTTTTCTTTCTGTGTTCTCAATTGATTCAATGCATAGCATTAGAAAAAACATGTAATTATTGGGGGGTTTTGTTTTTGGTGGATTTAGAGTTTTGTTTAAGTTCGATTATATTGGAGTTGAATTTGGTTGCTCCTTGGCTGTGGGGAGAGAGGTCGGGTGCGTCATTTGGTGAAGAAGGGTTGGGGAAAGAGACAGGGGGTGTAAGGAGTGTGGTTGCGGATGAGAACTATCAATTTTCTATCTTTTCAATTTCTTCAGAGCACCCGTTTCCTTCCTGCAAATGGGTCTTACAAACTTCCACTCGGTTCTATCAATTTTGTTAGAATCAACAATTCTGCGGAGCATTTTTGCGGTGAATTTCAGCGACCCATTTGCCTAATTAGTTTGCAATTATATGGTATTTTAAAAAAGTTCAAAAATTAACTCACACATTCTCCACAAGCACCTGATTCTTTAAAATTTTCCAAAAATGGAGAACTGAATCACCCAATTTTCTTAATTAAAGAAAGAAATAAAAAATCAGTTTTCTTTTTGGTCAAATTCGAAGACCCGATGAAGAAGTAAGTGAATTTTCTCAGAGGGGGGAGAGAGAGAGAGCGCAGCTGGGGACTGGCCTCTGAACAGCAAAAGCAGAAACGAATCACTTGATTTTTAAACTGCGATGATCAGGAATCTTAAAAACTTAGCAGTTTTTCTGAATATATCACTTAATTTTTAAGGTGTATTGATCAGGAAGGACAAAAACTTAACATTTTTTGTTGATGTGTATTCTTTCGTTTTGATTAAGAGATATATCTTTGTTTATCAATGCTATCGCTATGGGGCAATTGTTTTGATGTTATAAATTCTTGAAACTGTAATTCCCTCTGTCTTTGTCGTGTTAAAACTGTATATTGTGATTGCAGGTTTTTAAAAACTTGACCTTCGCAGATTGTTCAAAAAGAAAGCAATTCTGCTATTGATCAGTATAAAGACGCAACAACAAAGGTAGAAATAAAATGTCTCGCATGATATATTTTGGTTTGGGTTTGTAATGTGTGATTTCCGATGTGGATTAATTACTTAAATGATTTTGGATTATGATCATTGCATGTTTTTTCTTTTCGTTATTCCTTGTTTTGCCAGCATTTTCTACAAATCTGTTTTATTGTGTTGGTGTGAAACTGTTTACACTATAAGACTGTTTTAATTGCTTTGCTACTGTCTTTTCCTTTTATATATATATATATATATATATATATATATATATATATTTCTTATGTAGGAGTTATATGGACTTGGGGGACAAGAATTATAAATGCAATTATTGTGTGCTTATTTTTAGTTAAAAGAATCAAACAAACAATGAACCTATAATAAGTGAGGGAAAACTCACTTCGACCCTACCACTATTATTTGTGTAGCATATTCTCATCTCAAAAGCATAAATAATGACAATTACATAATTATGAGATTAAAGTTTAAGATGAAGAATTCCACTTTACTCAGAATCCGACAATTGTTTCTTCCATGACACCCAACTTTAAAAGTCTTTGTGTGAATTGTCTATCGAACTTTTGATTTTGAGATAAGATTCCTGCTTAAAAGATAATAATTGTTCAAAAAGTGAGTGTGAGATTTTAAAAGTCTTTGTGTGAATTGTCTATCTAACTTTTGATTTTGAGATAAGATTCCTGCTTAAAAAATAATAATTGTTCAAAAAGTGAGTGTGAGATGACTCACCTCTACCCTACCATTATTATTTGTCTAGCCTCCCCATATTCTTCATGGTTCATTTGTTTTCTTTTGTCAATATTTGACGTTTAAATTCGATTTTTGGTAACGTTTTTTTTAGGGGAATTGGCTGTTACTAGTATAGATAATCATTATCTTCTTTTGGCTTGGTCTCAATACATGACCAATTGTTTGCCTGACCATTAACAAATTCAGATAGGTATACATAAGTATTAGTAAAATTGTCTCTACTACAGATATACCCTCTCCACATGCCTTAATTAGCCAAAGTACACCTTAATGATACAGAAATGGTTAAATCTATCCATGTACTATTTCCATCACTCATTACCCGGATTTAACAATTTTTCCAATCCTAAGATGTTTTTTGGATCAATCAAAGCATATGGAGAAGGTGTATCTTTGGTTGGAGCATTTGTATCCATACTTTTAGATATCCGTCTTAAACTTCTCAATAAACAGTTGAATACTTGATTATGTATATAGAGCAAGCGAAAAGAAGAAAGTTTTTATCTATATATTGGTAACAACCAATTCCTCTGAAGAAAAAAGATGAAAATGATGACATCTGAAATGCTTGATCAAATTACATCTCTATATTTTGCAGAGAAACCAAACCAAAGATATCTGATCCATCTTTAGCACATATTATATCCCATTCTTATATGGCAACTTTTTTCAGATTAATCACTCCACAAATTTTAGACAAATTTATATTCACAATTTCCAATTTGACAAAATACTTTATTGCCCTGTGTTATCTTTTGTGATAAACATATGAATGCACAAAAACAACCACACATGCCTTACCCATTTAGATAGGCATTTGTATCCATGTTTACACATCTATCTTAAATGCTGTCTTGCAAAATCCAGTGGTTAATTCCAAGTTTACTATCTAATGTGCTATTAGATACTATTTTTTCGTGAAATTGGATACTTTGTTTACAATTTAATAATTTGATTGCCCCTTTAGTTGCATAAACTCAGTAAAATTTTGAGGTTGTAGACACTGAACTGCTGAATCTCTACGGTTTCTTTTGTTTTGTCCAATTGTTGTCATTATTCTAATTGGGTAATTTAAGGTTTTTTACTGTGTTTATTTATTTACTGATAAATTAGTGGGTCTAAACTCTTAATTGAATTGAGGAAAACAGAGAACTAGCAAAGCTTCGTAGAGAACATGCACCAGTTTCCTGCCATCCTGATCCTATATTTATTCCTTCATTTGGGTAACACAGCTTAATGAAATAAAATTTCAAAAATATATTAAGAGTATAATTTCACGCTTTTGATTCGTGTTTAAAAATAACATTTACATTCACAGTGTCTTTTGCTTAGTGGATAAACAACTGTAAATGAGCTTGACTATGTCAAATTGAATATTTTAGTGCCCACCACCTATTTGATAAAAGATGGCGTCAAAACTCCTCCAATATGTGTTCAAGCTGCCCCCCTTCTATTTCTAATTTATATTGTTTCCATACACTCAAACCATAACACTAAATTCCCAATTTCTTGCCCACAATGATGTGTCTTATATCTCATGGAGAAGCTCTCAAGTCCATTGCACTGTCCAACTTTTTTGCCCATTTCAGGTACTGCTTTTAGCATCAAAATCCTATGTATGTCTAACCTTTCTTAGCATTTTCCGTTGTTTTAGTGCAATGATGTGCATGAATTAATACAACATAAACTTGCATAGTTTGTGAGCTCAACCATTGAGGTTTCTAACTGGGTTTTGATTGTTTCACTAAACTTTTATACGTTTCAATTTTCATTGTTTGGTTAAACTTTTATGCTTCATGGTGCCTTTGAAATATAAGTTCACCATTGGTACATAATTAAGATTGGATTTGATATCATTCAGGTTTGATTTGTTCAACGCTCTTGATTGTTATTTTCAAGCCAACTACTACATTTTCCAACAAATTTACAAAGAACAACCAAGCTGGATTATAGCCAGATTCCGTCAAATTATATCACTATTGGTATTCCAGCTGCCCACCTTATAGAAATTACAAGGTTTGCTCCACTCTATACTTCTTTGATACATTTAATTCAAATTCGTATATTTAGGTAAGAAACAAAATTTTATCTATTCCTTGAGTTAGGCAGAGTTGTAAATAGATTGAGTTAAGCAGAGTTGTAAATATAACTTTCTATATGTTTTATGCTGTTTAAAAACCCGCAGCATCGCACGGGCACCGTTGCTAGTTATACATATACTAAAACCCAACACAAAAAGCACTGTTCATTAACAGTGAAAGAGCGGAATTGCCCTTTAATTGCTCTTGGTTTTCTGTTTTTGTCCTCCTTTGCCCTCGCTGGGCACGAGTCCTTCATCGTTGTCCTTTCCTGTTCGAGTATTGACTAAAGCAGAGTGAGAGGGACCTGCTTTGTTGGAGTGTCGTTTTCCTACATGTACTCTCGAGGCATTAGAAACTCAGACCCACATCTTCTTTCTCCTTCCCAATATCCCTTCCCCATTTTATTTATTTTATTTTCTACTACTAATTATTATATATTTGGCAAAATACCAAACCCCTCTCTCTCCCTCTTCTGATGAGGATCTGTTTCTTGAGCAAAAGAAAAGTCTTCCTTTTTTCATTCCGCCTTTCTGTCACTGTCAGTAAAATTTTCAACCAATGGCTTCGAAGATCATGAATGAGTATATGAATGATTTGCATTAAAAAGAATATAATAATTTTCATCATCGTTGATCAGCAGAAGCTCCACAAGCGAATGTCACTTTCCTCATATAAGTCATACATCATAGGTGGATGCGGATCCAAGGTCAATCATCTGTTTTACTTTTTCTTCAGTGCCGTTTTCAATTTGGTTTGTTTCTCTCTTTATTTTCGTGGCTTTTTCTGCCTGCCTTGGTCTCTCTCAAACCCTGTGTTCTCTGCATTTTCCATCTCCACATCCTTCTCATCTTTTCCATCCAAATTATCTGTGTAAATTTCTTGCGTTAAAATCGCTGGACAAGTTAATTGTTGCTGTAAAGTATCTGCTTCTACGTCCGTTCTACATTTATTCCAATATTAAAACCGTGAGGCATGGGCGAGGCGTTCGAGGGATAGCCCAGCCTAGGCATGAGACGAAGCCTCACGGGACCTAAATTTTTTAACATATACACTAAGTGAACACATATATTATATTAAAAAAAGAAGATTATTAATCAATAATCACCCTAAGCACACACATATATTATAAATACATATACACGCACATATATATACATATATATTATATATATATGTATATATAAAATAGAGGATGAAAAGCACAATGAGCACACATATAACAATGCACGCAGACAGCACACACATCCATTATATAAAAAAATAAAAATCAGAAAAAAAAGGTAGAGAGACGATAGTGCAAGGAAGAGGTATGAGGCAGTTAAAATCCTACCTAAAATTTGGGTTTGGGAGTAAAAAAAAAAATCCCCTAAGGCGTGCCTAGGCAACTCCGACGGCGCCTTCCGCCCACTCCCTCAAAACAGAGGTGGCAACCCTTAAGCCCAGCCTCACAGGGCGCTTAGGCGCGCCCTGAGACGAGCCTTTTAAAACATTGATCTATTCACACTGTTTGTGCTTTATTCCGTCTGGGCTTTCCTGGTTCTGGCCTGAATTTTGGCTAATTTCCACCCCTTTCGTCGCAACATGTCTTCAGATCACTGCGGAACTGATCTTATTTAATTGAGGTGTGTTTTATAATTGTTAGTGAGAGAAAGATGGCTGTGGCGTCATTGGTTGGAGTTAGAGGTGTGTTTTATAGGTGAAAAAGGATAACATTTATTTATTTATTTAGAGGGTTTTGTTTCTGTGTTTAGATCCTAGGTATAATTAGATAATTTGATTGTCTTTTCATTTGGAGGAAATAGTTATTTTTGAGGGTTTTGTGTGCAGCCTTTAAAGTTTAATGTTGCTTTCAATCTGTTTTGAAATTTTTTATTTTGGCAAGTCATGAGGGATGGCGTCGATGAAATTGTTTGGTGTGGTACTGTTTCTTTCTTTGTATTATTTTAAAGCCTGTATTATAGATTTGTTTTTCATATCAAATCTTAATAAAATTGATTTGGTTTTGTAGATCAGAATTTTTAAGCGACAAAATCAACCTGCAAATTCAGTTCAGGTATGAATGCTTCTGCTTATTTAGATTGTTGAATTGATCTTTACCTTTACTAGATTCTATTTTTCAATGTTGTTTGCTTCATTATCGTGTTACTTTATTATTAATAATACTAATTTGGTTTTGTAGATTTAAGATTTTTAAGCGAGAATCAAGTTCAAAATTCAATTGAGGTATGAATCTTTTTGCTTATTTGGGCTGTTGAATTCATCCTTGCCTTTACTGCAATTTTTTTAACTGTTTGGTGCATTCTGGTATTGATTTCATTGTAATTTTATGGATTTTAAGTGGTTATTTAGATTTTGGATTGTGAGAAGGATCAGGTGGGTTTTCAAGATAATCAAATAAGTGGCTCTTCCTCTCAAGAACCATATCAAGCCTTCAATTCCATCCAGGCCTCTAATAATCCTCCACTGCTACCTACACCAAATGTTTCTCAGTTGCAAGCCCACAACGCTCAAACTCAGCCAAACTGGAGCAGTTTTCAGAGGAACAATTCTCAGCGAAATTCCTTCAATCTCGCAACAAATTCCATCGCCACAATTTGGGATTTTTACCGCTTCTCTCTGCATGCTTCTGGCTGTTGTGTATATATATATATATTATTCAATTGTTTGCATTTATTTTTTCCTTTCATTTTTACTCAATTATTTTCACTTTTTCTCCATGTGTTGCCTCATGTATGTTTCTCAATTGTTTGAATTTACTCTTTGCCTTCAGTTTTTACTGAATTTATTGACTTTTTGTGCATGGGTTAATCTATTTGTTATATGTCATGGTTAAAGGTTTGGTTTCTTTCCTTTTTCTTTTTATCAATCCTCTCTCTTTACCATTTAAGTTGAATTACCATGGGACGTAAAACAAAGGAGGCTAAAAAGCAGTCTAGCCCCAGGAAAAGGCCATAAACAAAGAAAGGAAAGTGATTAAAATGGCTAAGTAGTCCAAAAGAGATTTATAACTTTTGTCCAAATCCTAGACATCCCCCTAACCCAGAAAAATACAAAATGGCAGCCAGCTGTTCCAACGTGATCAATACCTGTGCTTCATTTTCCACTTGGTGGAGCACGTGTTTTTATGCAAGTCGTAGAAAATTTTAATTTTTAAGTTATTAATCTTTTAACACACATAATCCACTGTTTATATAGGAATATATGATGTATTATCTCGTGTGACGATCACACTGAAAAATCTCTCACGTTGGTGGGTTACCCGAGCTCCTCAAATAATTAACAAATCATCCAAACGTGTTTCACGTTGATATGTTATCCTGAACTTCTCAATAATTAACAAATAAACCAGCATGCTTTCACAGTGCATCTACACTATTTGATTCCAGGAAGTGATAAAACTGAAAGTTGAACAATGTTTCTACATCAGCTCCCACTATATCGTTAACTTTTAGCCGTCAAGTCTTAATTAAGTTTTTTTTTTTTGTTGTTAAGTTTTGTCTGCATAAAAACAAGGGTTGTGCTATCTACACACCCATTTTTATTTCTCATACAACCTTTGTTAATTTCTGTTCGTTAATCTTCTTCAATTCATCTGATCCGACTGTCAAAAATTGTAAGAATGTATGAGAAGTAAAAAATAGGATGTGGATATCACACCCCATAAACAAAGTCACCAGCTCCCACCCACTACATCATTAATAGCACATAATAAAGCTACTTTAATTTTCTTCTTTGGGATTACTTTAATGATGCAGGCATCCTTGGTATTTTCTTCGGACTTGGATTGTCAGCCCTCCCCATTTAGGTGTCTTCCCTGTGCCCTCTTGTTTTGTGTGGTCACGGTTAATCCATGTCAATATTTTATATTAATTTTTTTTATAAAAATAATAAAACAAAAAAAAATAGTAATATAAAATGTTGACGTGGCTTAACTGTGATCACAAAAACAGGAGGGCACGAGGAGGGCACATAAATTAAAGGGCAGACAATCCAAGTCCATTTTCTTCTCTGGGATTACTTTAATTATGTGTAAAAAAAAGTCTAATGGTGTATGTAAAAGTTCAAATGTGTATGTAAAAGTCTAAAGCTATGTGTGAAAGTAAAGACTTTTGAACACCTATGTTTTATGTTGTTGTGTAAAATCTCTATAAAAGAGATGTCTATGTACGTTTGTAATCAATCCCATTCCAGCAATAAGAAAAGAAAATATTTTTGTTATCAGAAGAAACTTGCTGCTAATAGTTTGAAAAACATTTAGAGGAAGCAACAAGCTTTTAGAAAATTAGTCTAAAAGTTTTTCTTACTATTAGCACCGAGTTTCTTCCGATTACAAAAATATTTTCTTTTCTTATTGCTGGAATGGGATCGATTACAAACGTACAATGTTATCATCTGTTGTTCAAACTAGAACAATGCTTCTCCATATTTTTTGCATGTGAATAGGCCATTGTAAGATTAGTTCCCCAATTTTTTTGTGTACAAGGACAATCTAATGTTTTCAAATCTTTTATCTGCAACTACTGATGTGAATCAAGAACTAGGATGACTGCCTAGGGGGAATATCATATTAACCATTTGTGTATGTCAATGACAAAGTGTTTGCTAATGTTTTGTTTTTTTTTTTGTATAAAATGTATAAATCTAGACACTAGCCTGTAAAAAATATTTGCTACATTATCTATACAGCCTTCATTATCTTTGTGTAAATAGTATTAGTTTGGATTTCTATGCATTTATATTTTGGGAGTTATATATTTTTAGAACATGTTCTATAGTTGGATTTTCACTCCCGCAACAACGTGCATGCACAATTTTCTAGTTCTATGCTAAAGTCCAAACACCTTATACTAAATTACTAGTACTTTCATGACTGCTCCTTTTAAGTAGAATGGTCAAATAAGGACCTGGATTGTCTGCCCTCCCCCATCTCATCCCCTTCCCATCCCCTTCTATTTATGTGGTCACTGTTAAGCCACGTCAACATTTTATATTGATTATTTTTTATAGAAATAATAAGACAAAAAACAATGGGAATATAAAATGTTAATGTGGTTTAACCGTGACCACATAAATAGGAGAGGATGAGAAGAGTATAGGATGGTGAGGGTAGACAATCCAGGTCCGTCAAACAAATAGTTAGACTTACACTAAATAGACTCTAGATACATGAACTCTAAGATGGTCACATTTTAATATAAGTATTTTAAGCATGCCTTATATGCGACTAAGCTGCAAAGTCTTTGTTTAGTCAACAGTTAATCATATCATTTGAATACCATGTGCTATTCCTGGTCTCTATCAATCTGCAGATCATGACTTTATTCAGCCGGCTTGCGTCTTCGATCAGCAAGGAAGTTTCTGTGGTGTAATCAACGGTTAACCAGATGAAAATTAGTAGCTGGAACTTCGATGTCAAAACTGAAAAGTTACCAAAATAAATCATCAAATTGTTTCTTGCCATTGGCCTAATTCCGTGTTCACTGTGAGCCCTTTCTAGAAAATGGATAAAGATAAACTTCCTGTAATGCTTTTTGCAATTATTCCGCTGTTGATGCCAGCTGCCCTTTCTGCTACTGATCCCCTTACAAGTTTTTGTTCAGGTGGTGACAGAAAGAGCCAATTTGAAAGCAATCTCGAGCGGCTACTTGAGTCGTTATCTTCCAACACTTCGATCAAAGGAGGTTTCTATAACGATACGATTGGAGATGGACGGGACATAGTCTATGGACAAGCACTTTGTAGATGGGATGTTAACTCCACAGTTTGTCAAAACTGTGTTGATGAAGCAAGCAAGGAAATCTTCAAGAGGTGCAAAACAACAGATGCAATGATTTGGTACGAGCTATGTCAAGTTCAATATTCTTACCAGATGTTCTTTCAACTAATGGTTTACACCGGAAAGTATCCGGACAAGAATAATCAGGAGAAGAACATATCAACTCCACACGATTTCAATGATGTATTGAACTCTTTAATGATAAACCTCTCTGAAGCAGCCGCGTTTAGTCCCTCCAAGAATATGTTTGCAACTGGGAAAATTAAATTTTCAGGAAAGGATACAATTTATGGCTTACAGCAGTGTACTAGAGACATTTCTGCAAGTGACTGCCATAGCTGTTTGAATTTTGCTAGCACAGATCTTCTGGGATGTTGCTCTTCTAAACAAGGTGGAACTGTTGTTAGTAGGAATTGCAATGTGAGGTTTGAGCTGTTCCCCCTTTTTAACGACGCGTCAAATTCTTTGGTAATCCATCCACATTCCAAAGGTTAGTGACTTGAAAGTTTTCTTTTGTGAATTAGTCATCAGTGCATGCACATTTTTCATAGTAAATTGTAGCTCAAGGAAGTTCGTCCTATTAAAAAGCAGGGGACAGATTGAAGAGTGGGAAGGCAGTTATACTTGTTTCTGCATCCATCATACTGTTAGCAGCCATTGTATTTTGTGCTGTCCATCTCCGGCGCAAAAAGGGATCAGGGGATGTCAAGGGTACATATATCAAAACTAAAAACTTATTCTGAAGTTTGTAGGATTACCTTGTAAGTTTTACTTATGTTTTTTTTTTTTTTTTTTGGCAGATGAAGGAAAAAACGAGCATGTACTATTACAAGATTTGGCAAGCCCCACTGGAATCACAATCTCAGAAGAAGGGATGTTCATAATTTCTGAAGAGCTGGCCTTCATGGATCTAGCTGCTATAAAGATAGCTACGAATGACTTTTCGGATTTAAACAAGCTTGGACAAGGTGGGTTTGGTACTGTTTACAAGGTAATGATATTATGTATTATGGTTCTAAGTAGGCTTAATTATACAATAGTATTGATTCAATTATAGGCCGAAAAATGTATGTCATTTGATTTTGTCAATATTCTTTCAGGGATTGCTACCAGATGGGAAAGAAGTTGCCGTCAAAAGACTGTCGAAGAAGTCATGGCAAGGTTTAGAGGAGTTAAAAAATGAGGTGGTAACCATTGCAAAACTTCAACACAAAAACCTGGTGCGGCTCTTGGCGTGCAGCTTTGAGGGAGAGGAAAAGCTGCTTTTGTACGAGTTCATGCCAAATAAAAGCCTTGATGTTTTTATCTTTGGTTTGTTCATCTTACTCTTCTGCTATAATGTTCTTTTACTTTTACTTTCATACATCATACGAACATTGCACATGATAAATTGTACCGAATTTTCAGATTTAGAAAGACGATCTGAACTCAATTGGAAGATTTATTACAACATTATTGAAGGCATTGCTAGAGGGCTTCTGTATCTTCATGAGGACTCGCGGCTTAGAATCATTCACAGGGATTTAAAGCCTAGCAATGTACTGTTGGACTATGAAATGGTTGCCAAAATATCAGACTTTGGCATGGCACGGATATTTTGTGAGAGCCAGAACACAGCTAACACTAAAAGAGTTGTAGGAACAATGTGAGTTTGCTTCTTACAGCTCCCATATTTATCTTTAGAACATGCTAATGCTTATACTTGATTCTTGAAACAGCGGTTATATGGCTCCAGAGTACGCAATGGAGGGTCTATTCTCGGTCAAATGTCTTCAGCTTTGGTGTAATCTTGCTAGAGATTATTAGTGGGAAAAGGAATAGTGGGTTCTATCTCACAGAACATGCCAAGACACTCCTTGCATATGTATGTTTCTTTGTCCACTTTGATTACTTATCTTAATTTGTGTGGAATTAAAATATTTTTCGGTTTAAATAATTGACAGGCATGGAGGCTATGGAAGGACGGAAAACAGTTGGAATTTATTGAGCCCTTGTTGATGGAAACTTGCCCAACAGCTGAGGTTTTGAAGTGCATGCATATTGGTCTTTTGTGTGTCCAGGAAGACCCTGCAGAGAGACCTACAATGTCAACTGTGGTTGTATTGCTGGGAAGTGAATCGATAGATCTTCCTGAACCAAAGCAACCGGCAATATTTGCTGTACGAAGAGTTGCTCCAATCAGTGAGTCTACAACTGATCCTGCTTCAAATGGGCTCACTCTTTCCATCATTTCGCCGAGGTGAACTAACTCTGACTGGAATTTCATTTTGCTTCCTCGAGGCTGGTTCGAGTACTGCTTGAGGGGGCTCAAAAGTGGTTTGATCCTAGCTCTGGAGTGGCTATATATATTGCTGAAATAAAAACAAAAACTTAATAACCCCAGTGAGTTAAGATCCTCAGGATCATCAAGGAATTCAGAAAACGTACCTTGTGTGTTAATTCTTCTTTGCTCTCTTCGTTTACCTTGTGCCATATTATTTTAAAAAGAAGGCTATTTGTCCAACTTCCCAAGCAATTTTAACATAGAAGGCAGGAAAAAAAACACCAGATTCGTTTTCCTTTCACTTTCATTACGTGAACCAAATGAGGCCTTAGGTTAACGAACCTAACTGGGTTTCTCTTGTAGTTGAAGATAGTTATAGTCAGGACTAGACCTGTAAGCGGGTCGGGTTTATTGGGTTTGGATCGGATTGAACCCGACCCGTTAAGTTAATGGGTCACCCGAATCCAACCCGTTAAGCTAACGGGTCATCGAACTCAACCCGTTTCACCCGTTAACAATTATTATTATTTTTGCATAAAATTTATTTTTTGTTATTAAGACTTTACTAAAATTACTAAAATATCCTCAACTAACGGGTGCTAACGGGTCATAACGGGTCTAACGGGTCATAACGGGTCTAACGGGTTGACCCAAAGTGACCCGTTATTAACGGGTTGTTAACTGGTTCACCCGTTAGCGACCTGACCCGTTATACATTCATCCAAATATAAATATTAATGGGTTGGGTCAAGTCGGGTTAACCGGTTGGGTCCAAAATGCCAGGCTTAGTCAGGACCTGTAGCAACCAAAAAATAAAAAAAAACGTTTCATTTAATTCGAAGATGAATGAAATGAAAAAGTGCCAAAAGAAAAGTTGAGGGTGTGAGTAATGTGATGTGTAAGAGTATGTTAAGTCTAGAATTCGAAACTCTCCAATAAAAACAAAAAAACAAAAAAACATAAGCTTAGCCTATGAGCTGAAGCATTACACTACACAAAACTTGTAATCTTCTTCATATCAGTTCATCAATTTACACATCAACACTCCCCCTAAATTGTGAACTGATTTCACTCCCAATAGCTCTCTGAGATGACGGAATTGATCTTTGGTAAGAGCCTTTGTGAATATATCAGCTACCTGTTCTTTGGTTGAACAGTACACCAAGTCAATGATCTCATTCCGCAAAGCCTCCTCGATAAAATGATATCTCCTGTTGACGTGTTTAGTCTTCTGGTGAAAAATAGGGTTCTTAGTGATTGCAATGGCAGAAGTGCTATCACAGTTTAGTGGAGTCGCAATGTCGAGTTAAAAATTTGATCGTCACCCAATTTTGGTTGATTGCCAATAGCGACCGAAGTTCCAATGACAGCTCCAGAACCAATACGAGCATGCTCGCCAACAACGGATTTTGAATGAACTACAGCACCAAACTCTATGAACACTGTTGGGTCAATGCAGGCAGACTTGTGGAAAGACCCACCTCCGTTATGCCATTGTTGGAATTCTGGATGAAAGGTCGGAGCACCGTCCTCTGATCTTGAAATACAGAGCAGGTGCAGAAATGGTTAGTGACAAGACAGGTGTTGTCTCAGAGACATTTTCACAAGCACGTTCAGGGCATACCATACGACACAGAGGAACTCTAACTATTTCCAAAGCGCAACGGAAACAAGCTTTGAACGCATTGAAGATGTGGCGAGTAGCCGAATGCCGCTGCAAGTCTTCTCAGAGAGACTGCCATTGACTGAGGTCCGAGGAGGGACTCGGCGAGGAGGAAAAGCCCGTTCGTGTTTGAACCTGCGTATCCAGTATCCACCGTGTTTGACCGGAAGGGCTTTTGGAATGGAGGGCATTTTCTTCTCCTAAAGTTACGTTGGGTCAACATACATTGGTGTTGGGCTTGAAAGTCCAAGCCAATAGATTATTGGAACAGGTGGAAGGTGGATTGGAAATTTCGATTTTGATCAGTTTTGACCAAGTTGGTAACAAAAACTTTCAATTTTGGTGCACTCGAATGAAATTTGACATTCAAAATTCTAAAATAATATGGATCGAAATTGGGATGTACATCTCAAATTTTTAATAATCTCAATATATTTTATACAAACGTATTAAGGTTTCAAATTATTTACGTTGATTAACTTCTTGATAAAATAAATACAATCTAATAAACACATAGAGTATGTTGTAAAAAAATTTCAAAATGTTGGGCATATTCAAGAGCCAAACTATTTTTGAAACGTAAGCAAGGTATAAAATATCGATGATATCGGAAATATCGGTAGTCCAAAAACACAGAAATTTCAATGGAAATATTGAGATATTATCGATATAGATAAAAATTGAATAAAAACCACGGAAATTGTAAGAAAAACTTGGAAATTTTTATTGAAACTGTTTGTACCATACTTGACCAATCCCGAAACTACCGAGCACCGGCCAACGCTATACTGTCAAGGACCCAGAAGAGTTCCCCTCCGACCAGGAGGCCAATCACTACTCGACACGTGTCAAGATTAGAAGCCAATCAGAGCGCAGCACGTGTCAACATCAAGAACCAATCATAACATGACACATGTCAATGTGACAAAGCTACAAGTTTTTCTATAAATAGGGGTCATTCCCCCATAATATGGCCTAATGCCATTTGTGTTAAATCATTCACAAGAACTCACTAAATTGAGAGCTTGATCCTTTGTACTTGTGTAAGCCTTTCACTACTAATAAGAACTCCTCTACTCCGTGGACGTAGCCAATCTGGGTGAACCACGTACATCCTGTGTTTGCTTCTCTGTCTCTGTTCATTTACGTACTTATCCTCACTAGTGACCGAAGCAACCAAGCGAAGGTCATAAAACCTGACACTTTCTGTTGTACCAAAGTCTTCGCTGATTTTGTGCATCAACATTTATGGTCTTGGAACAACGTAAATCCGACCGTGAATCTGCACAAACGCTCAAGAACAAGAAGAACACAAGGATTTTATCGTGGTTCACCCCAATGTTTGGGCTACGTCCACACTGTAGTTGATTCTGTTTCTCTGTAAGTGTATGGATACAAGTGTTTGGGGGAAGTCCCCCAGAGAAAGAAGAGAAGGGAGAGGAGAGCCTCGGTGGTGTGAGGTCTCTCCTGAATGTAATGAGAGCTTCTCTTAGCCTTCTTAGGCTTGGCTCTTTTTTTTCTAGAATGAGGGTAGGAGTCCCCTTTTATAGAATAAGGGGCTCCTCCTCTTTTACAAAGTATGGGCTTTAGTGTGAGGCCTAAATATAAGGCCCAAGGCCCAAATATACGAGGCCCTAAATATGGTATAAACAGTAGTCCCCCAAGTCTTCAGTCAAGAGAGTCTTTTGGCTGGAGACTTGAAATTCAGTCCATATGTGGGCCGAAGTAACTAGATGTCTTCTAGAACTAATGCTTGATATGAGGCGGTGCCCAATCTGAAATGATGCTCAACTAGAAGTAGCACATGTTGCGAGGTCGCTCTGCTTGTAGCTTATGTTGCCTTGGTTGGCTCGGCTTGTGGCATTGAAGGTGAGGGAGTCCCTTTTATAGAATAAGGGCTCGCTCCTCAATACATAAGTGATGGGCTAGAGTTGATGCTCGCAGTGAGACAGTTGCTCAGTAGGCGGCGATGCTCTCTAATGGTGGTGAGGGAGTCCCTTTTATAGAATAAGGGCTCGCTCCTCAATACATAAATCATGGGTGATCTTTCAATGAAAGTGAGGGAGTCCCTTTTATAGAATAAGGGTTCGCTCCTTAATACATAAATAATGGGCTAGAGTCCCCCAAGTATTTTTCATGAGGCCCAGTTGAGGCCCAATATATGGTACATAATGTAGTCCCCCAAGTCTTCGGTCAATAGAGTCTGTTGGCTGGAGACTTCAAATTGAATCCATGTATGGGCCGAAGTGGCGGTTGTTCGGAGGCGGTATTTGTATACCCTGCACTGAAGCTTTGTAGGTGAAGCTTTGTAGGTGAAGCTTTGCAAGTGAAGCTTTTAAGCTAGAGCTCTGTAAATGAAGCTTTTAAAGCTAGAGCTTTTGTAAATGAAGCTTTTGAAGCTAGAGCTCTGTAAATGAAGTCTTTGAAAGCTAGAGCTTTTGTAAATGAAGCTTTCGAAGCTAGAGCTCTGTAAATGAAGTCTTTGAAGCTAGAGCTCTTGTAAATGAAGCTTTTGAAGCTAGAGCTCTTGTAAATGAAGCTTTTGAAGCTAGAGCTCTGTAAATGAAGCTTTTGAAGCTAGAGCTCTTGTGAATGAAGCTTTTGAAGCTAGAGCTCTGTAAATGAAGTCTTTGAAGCTGATTTGACATGAGTGATGCTCATGCATGTTTATGTTGATTGACATGAGTGATGCTCATGGATGTTGACATGAGTGATGCTTATGGATGTTTATGTTGATTGACATGAGTGATGCTCATGGATGTTGACATGAGTGATGCTCATGAATGTTGACATGAGTGATGCTCATGAATGTTTATGTATGATTGGATGAGTGATGCTCATGAATGTTTATGTATGATTGACATGAGTAATGCTCATGTATGACTTGAAGTACTGGGCGTACTTTTGATCACCTGGTTGGTGGTAATAGCGGCGAGTTGCCGAATAATTGTGGAGTACTGGGGGTACTTTTGATCACCTGGTTGGTGGTAATAACGGCGGGTTGCCGAATAATTGCGGAGTACTGGGCGTACTTTTGATGACCTGGTTGGTGCTATTTCAGGCCTATGGGCCTTTGCCCTCCACAACATGTCAGCCCATTTGTTTTGGGCTTTTCCTTTTTTTTTTTTTTTTTTTTTTGACCCTCTGATGGGGTTTATACATATTACCCTCTGATGGGGTTTATACAGATGTCTCCAAAAGATAAAAATAAATTACATCATTCGGGTGAGGTGTTTATTCCTTGCTTTTGCAGTGTTTTTCTGCTGCCCTCTCTCTATATCTTCACCTGGTAGACAGAAGAAATCATAATAATAGAAAAATCTTTTGTTTTTCTCTTTTGCTTTCTGCTTTTGTTTTTTGCTTTCTCTTTTCTGCTTTGTTCCCCACTGCTTTTCTGCTTTTCTTGATTATGGGGTCCTCCGACTCTAGCACGTTCTCACCATTTTCGTTGTCGGTGGTGTTACCTTGCTCCTTCAAAACTTTACCAGACAGCAAAATATCTTACTCATACTCCCATATTAGGGAAAACATCAGAAAGATCATAAAATGCTTGGAGGTCGGACACGTAATGATGACAACAGAAATGGAGTCCTGTTCATGGGTGGGACACGTAATGATGACAAAGTAAAATAAAAAAGGAGGAATCTTATCTCAGTGTCAAGTTCATCATTCTGTCATCTGCAAAAGTCTTGAGCTGCTCAAGAACGGAGATATTGGAAACGACGGACTGAACCGCGACCTTATGGATGACAGAGGGATGTTGAACCTGATCAACCATTGTTACTTGCCCTTCGGTGGTGCTGGATGCGAGGCGTGCCTGTGATCCTTCGGCATCCCAAACTTGGCGAGGACTTCGAGATCGACGAGGCTCATGGACATGAGGCCCAAGGTGAGCTCGGACATTAGCACCGTGAGCAGCATTAGTAGTATGATGACCACTATGTGAATGAAGAATCTACTGGTGCAGCACTCGTACTTCACCGCCATTGAAGCTGGAAACGGACGACGCCGTTTTGGTGTGTAGCATCCTGACACCCCTGCTCCTCCGATACAATCATATGTACATGATCCTCCCCAGCTTTGCCAAGAGCCTACTGACATTGCTCTCGCTCTTGGGCTCAGGCTCCTCTCCGATCGACGGTGGACCCTCCTTCTGACCAACTAAATTGAGCACTGAAACAACCTAGAGGCGCTGCTTCTTCTTCGAGAAATTCTGATACAACGCCTTCCCAATCCCCGAAATGTCATTCTTCCTCGCTCTCATCGCAGTACCCTAGGCCGTTGTCGTCTACGATGGAGCCTCGGACCTCTTCCCGTCGTTTGGCAACGACTGCGTCGTACTCGTCGTCTCCGACAGTGTCGCAGATTCGGTCCTCCATTTGGAAACCCGCCAGTTTCAGATCGGCGACCGCCATGACAGAGAGTTTTGAGGCATTCGAGGGCTCCGGCACGGGTCGACGCCTCTGGTCCTCGATTCCGTCGCCTACTGGTGATCGCCGTCGCCTGCTCGTCGTCCGCCATTGACTGCGTGGTGGTTCTCTGTGTGAGTGTCAGTGGTTCTGGGTCTTCGATTGGACTGACTTTCCATGCGATTATTACCGTAAATTTGTAATCTTTGAGCATTTTGAGCCTTGGGGCTGGGTTGTAGAAGTGGATCTAGTCGTTTGCTCTGAAAATTGGACTGACTCGGCTGAGTTATACTTGTTGACTCACTGAATCTTTGGTAATGGAGACTTTTCATGTTGTGGCGCAGCATAAGAAACAGGACACTGAATAAAAGCACCCCAATTGCTACTGATGTCAAGAACTTGAAGAAAAGCAAACACTTCAATGGAAGTTTTGGATTCTTGGTTTCTGCGAATTTTGCAAATCCACGGCGGAGGTGAAAAAATGAGAGAGAAACCGACACAGCTTTTCGTGTCGATTCCCACAGACGGCGCCAAATGTTGATGCACAAAACCGGATGGTCTTGGAACAACGTAAATCCGACCGTGAATCTGCACAAACGCTCAAGAACACGAAGAACACAAGGATTTTATCGTGGTTCACCCCAATGTTTGGGCTACGTCCACACTGTAGTTGATTCTGTTTCTCTGTAAGTGTATGGATACAAGTGTTTGGGGGAAGTCCCCCAGAGAAAGAAGAGAAGGGAGATGAGAGCCTCGGTGGTGTGAGGTCTCTCCTGAATGTAATGAGAGCTTCTCTTAGCCTTCTTAGGCTTGGCTCTTTTTTTTCTAGAATGAGGGTAGGAGTCCCCTTTTATAGAATAAGGGGCTCCTCCTCTTTTACAAAGTATGGGCTTTAGTGTGAGGCCTAAATATAAGGCCCAAGGCCCAAATATACGAGGCCCTAAATATGGTATAAACAGTAGTCCCAACATTGAGAAATTGGCTCTGGCATTGGTCATGTCTGCTCGAAAACTC